TCTGCACGCATTTTTTTCATAATCTATCGTTTTGTAGTTTATTGAATGAACAAATAATATTAATCATTTCTTAAATATCAATATCATCTTGTAACTAGATTGTGATAAGTTGTTTGCAATGAACACAGATTGATTATCTGTCTTATAATCTTATTTTATACGATAAAATCAATAATTCTGGCCGTTTTTTATACTAAAACCAACTTTCATAGCCTGAAAATGAACATTAGTACTTAACGAACGAATTGAAAGGTTAGTTTAAGAGCCTCTTTATGCATTGAAGAAGAATGTACCAAGTGTAAGCTTATATCACTTAATCTGTTTAATGAAAAGTTGTAAGTATATCAATTTTTAAGGACAACGCAATATGATCACTAAAAATACTGTAGATATTCTACACGTGAGACACATGGTGGTGAGTTTAATTCTCACGTGCCAAATTATGAATGAGCATAGATGAGTTGGATAACAGAGAGAAATATTCATCTATTTCTGCCAGGTTTTTAACATTGGTCTGGAATTTATCAGTTCATGATTCAAATAATCTTTAGTCATCTTCACAATACTACACTGTTATAGGTGAGCCACAGACGAGATCATAAAACAACCAGTCCTTTATCAATGATTGACATTTGGCTTCTGTAGGAAGTATATTCACAATAATACTCTGTGTATCAATTTCGTGTAAATATTCTTCAGTAAAACATGTAGCGCAATATTACTTACTTACTTACTTACTTACTTACGCCTGTTACCCTCAATGGAGCATAGGCCGCCCACCAGTTTTCTCCAACCAACTCTTTATTGGGCTTCCCTTTCAAGTTCTGTCCAACGTTTGTTCATTCCTGTCATATCTTTCTCCATTTCTCGGTGGAATGTGTTCATTGGCCTCCCTCTTTTCCTTTCACCTTGAGGGTTCCAAGTGAGGGCTTGTCTTGTGACGCAGTCAGGTGCTTTTCGTAATCTGTGTCTTATCCACTTCCGCCGCTTCTTCCTGATCTCCCCCTCCACTGGAATCTGGTTTGTTCTCTCCCACAGTAGGTTGTTGCTGATGGTGTCTGGCCAACGAATCCAAAGTATTTTGCGTAGACAACTGTTCATAAATACTTGTATCTTGTGGATGATGATTTTGGTAGTTCTCCAAGTTTCCGCTCCATACAATAGAACTGTCTTGACATTTGTATTGAAAATCCTGATTTTGGTTTTGATTGAAAGTTGTTTGGAATTCCAGATATTTTTCAACTGTAGAAATGCAGCCCTTGCTTTGTCGATCTGCACCCTCACATCTGCATCGGATCCACCTTTCTCGTAAATGATGCTGCCCAGATATGTAAAGGTGTCAACCTCCTTCCCAAGACATCTCCATCAAGAGTGATTTGGTTGAGTACAATATATTTCGGGCTAAACAAAAAATGTATTTCTGTATTCCTACCATTTAGGTTCTTTGTCATAATAAGTGTTAACATTTGTACCAAACATCATTGGACTACAATAAGTTTGATTAAAGTATCAATATGTTTCACGAGTGGTGGTTGGAATTTATCGTTTTTGACTTGTCGATCAGTTTACCGTGCGTGCCTCTAATGAATTTTATTCTATACTGTCCATCAAAAACATTGAATGACTGACTTATCCAGTGAGAAGTATAAATTCTTATCTAATATTAAACAATAAACTTTATGATATGTTTGTTAAATATTTCGAAATTTGATTTGTTACAATTGATCATAATACTGTTACTTATTGAACCCGCCATACAAACTATCCAGTCAGCCATTGATAAACGACTAATAGACTAACAGAACAGATTTTATTCAACTAGTTTTGATGACAGCTGTAAAATGC